TACCACTACTACTACCACTACCACTACCACTACTACTACCACTACTACTACTACTACTACTACTACTACTACTACTGCTACTGCTACGACTACGACCACGACCACGACCACGACCACGACTACGACTACGACGACGACGACGACGACGACGACGACGACGACTACTACTACTACTACTACCACTACTACTACTTACTCCTTATCCAGGCCCCTGCATTGCCCTATGTACTCACTACTCTTATACGAGCTCACTTATCACTTATAGCCTCACTTACTCCGTGCCTGGGCCCTCAGCAGAATTCGGGAAGGTACAGAGTGCTTCTCAGCTTGGTGCTGTCCGAGAAGATGAAGTGCTCTGTCTGGCGCTTCGCCTGCGACTTCATGTGAGCCCAGCCGGATCTACGGTGTCGGGGTTGAGAGTTTGGGGTTTAAGTATGGTAAAAGGGGCCCCTAAACCCTATTCTAAATATTAAGGCGCTTATATTAAAGCCAGATAGAGCCCGTTGTTGAGACCCTTAGATGTATAGGGTTTAGAGTTTAGAGTGTTTGGGTGCTTGCTTGCTTGTGGCTTGAAAGTTCGGGATTTCGGAATCTGCGCTTCGGAGTTGACAGCAACTTGCCGAAATTTTGGGAAGATGTGTCCCGCGCAGGGGTTCAGAGTTTCCCGGAATCCCAAACCCGAAGCCGCAAGTCGAAACCCAAAGCCCGCAACCCTGCCCTGAGGATGCGCGACCTCGTTATGGAACTTAGTTGACGTTGCCGAAATAGGGATCTTTTTTGAAGACTATGGTGTCCTGATTAAACTAGGGTTTAAGGGTTTATATAGGTTTCCTGATTATGATAGGGTTTAGGGTTTACTGATTATCCCAACCAATCTCCTTGGCACTAACCCAGCCATGGCCCCTGCACGAGGAAGCCAGAAGCCAGCTCGATAGGTTTATGACCTAGCTGGAGCCCCAAAAAGTAGCCTTGTAATTCTTATACTGTCTGGTTCGGTACACCCAACCGCAGCTACTCTTGCCTACTCAGCTGCTGCTGGTCAGTAGGGTTTATACGGCTTGAGGTTTCAGGCTTAGCTCTAAACCCTAAATCTAAACCCAAAACCCTAAACCCTAAACCTTAAACCGAAACCGTGTAACCCAGAACCCCCCCCAAAGCCCCCGTTGCCGGAAGGTATCGGCCTCTAGGTTGGGTGAGCCCCCGTCCTCAACTGACATATATCAAGAACCTGCAAGCATCATAATACAAAAATAGTACGAATATTCCTACTAACAACAATAAAACCCTAAAGCCCTGAACTCTAAAGCCCCAAAGCCCCTAGAAACCCCCAAAAACCCGAAAGCCCTAAGAACCCCAAAAACCCGAAAGCCCCCAAAGAGCTGAAGGATGGACGCAGGGCTTAGTGAGAGGGCTTTCGGCGTTAGGGTTTAGGGTTCCAGGGTTTAGGGTTTAGGGTTTAGGGTTCGAGGGTTTAGGGGTTCGAGGGTCTAGGGTTCGAGGGTTTAGGGTTCCAGGGTTTAGGGTCTAGGGGCCCACCCTCTTCGCGACGCACCGCCCAACGAGGCAGCCGACACCTGGGATGCCAAGGAACGTTTCGGGGTTTGGGGTTTAAGGCGTTTTTTCTAACACCGAACTTGTCCGATATAAACAGGCTTGAATCCTCTCAGAGACTTTTTGCAAACAAAACAACACGAACGTCACACATGGTGCATCTTCAATGCAAGGTCTTCTTGGGTTCCTGAGACTGGTCAACCAAAGCCAGGAACTACAATGAAGACGATAGGCACTGCTTTACGCAAAGCTGACCACTGCATGTGCCAGACAGGTTTAGGGTTTAGGGTTTAGGGTATTTAATCAAGTCGAATGTAACTCCTTGTTTTTGGAGTCTTCGTGGAGGCTTCTGACGTTTGAGCGAGACGATTCTTGGTCCATGTAGCTTCCCACGATTGTGCAGAGGTTCTCACGCATGAACAACCAAAGCTTCCAAACACCCGGACCACGACCACGCTGAAATTCTGGAGCCGATGTAAGAGCCCTAATTTAGGGCCTTTAGACTTAGAATAGGGTTCCATCAAATGGCTACTATAAGGGATATTGTAAGGGTTCTATAAGGGTATAATGTAGGGACCTCCATAATTCGAATACAGTTTTGGGGCCCATTCTACTATACTGATAATAAGGAGCCCCCAAAATAGTATTCGTAATTATTTAGGCCCCTATAGTAAGACTCAAGCGTACATCCGTAAAACCTCAAAGCTCGAACGACTCCTGGGGCTTCAGCAAAGGCCGCCCGCGAAAAGTGCGATGATGCCAGCGACGACCCCCAGAATCAGGCCGGTGGTGGTAATGCCGCCATCATCTGGGCAGTGTTCGAATTTTTTAGGGTTTAGGGGTTTAGGGTTTAGGGTTTAGGGTGCCGCCATCATCTGGGCAGTGTTCGAATTTAGGGGCTCCGGAGTGCTCCGCTTGAGGACTTCGGGTATTGGTATTGGTGCTGATGCACTTTCAGGAAGGACACCAGGATCACTGAAACCAAAAAACCTTGAACCGGGAATGGGTGAGCAAAGCGAACCACCTTAAACGCTGACCCCTAAACCCTAATGTCATCTCAAGCTACAGCGGAGACTCGGGTTTACACAAGTGACTCGTGTGTAGAGTACCGCGGCAGGGGGGATCGCAGAGCTTCCCAATCCACCTTAAACAAGGAATAATATAATAATATAGCTCAAAGTCTTGTAAGGGTGTTCATATTGTAATTTAAGGGTTTAGCGTTTAGGGTTGAGGGATTATGATTTAAGCTATACTCCTTATTTAAGGGAGATTATTGGGCTCTCTGGGATTGACCCAAGCTTCGGGCTTCAGCGAGAGCCTTTTGGCCAAAATGGGGGTTTCCGAAAATAGGGGACCCTAATATAGTACCCTAAATAATAGGATCCTTATTATAATGACCCCCAAAATAAGGTACCCTAATTTTTGGAAACTCCCAAATCGAGATAGTAAAGAAACAGGCGAGCAAGAGACACAAAACAACGCACATGTGCTACGTTTCCGTATCCTTTAACATGTGTAGAGATGTGTAGTTCGCTGCCGTCCCCGTATATTCGGGTTTCAGGGTTTCGAGACGATAGGTTTATAAAGCCTTATGTGCTCTTATGTGCCTTCCCAGCTGCTGTGTTTTCTAGGTCGAAAGAAGGTCAGCCTCTTAACTACTATGGAGTTTTATATGCCGAGCCAGCTACTATCTACGAGCTACTACGAGTACCACAGCCCACAACCACGACGAATACTGCTGCGACCACGGCTCCAGCCGCGACGACGACGACGACTACTACTAATACTACGAGCACTGCTACTACTGCTGCTCCTAGCACCAGTACTACTACTGCTGTGGCTGCTGCTCTGTCTTGATACTATTACGGCTACGTCTATACTCTCACTCGTTCTCCGCTGCTGCTGAGGCTGTGAGCATGACTAGTCGCATTGTTGTCTCGAAGCTTCACTTTCCATTCTCACGTCTTAAACCCTTCAGGCTTGCTTTAGGTCTTGGGGGAATGAAAGACCTGTCCGACGCGCCCGCCTGGCGGGGGATCTTCGACCACCCTCGGCAGGGAAGCACGCTTGCAGTTTGTACCCTAATGAATTAGAATAGGGTTTTGGGGCCAATTATACCATAATCTGAACAAGGAGCCCCCGAAATAATATAGGCAACTGTTTAGGCCCTACATTAAACCTAAACCCTAAGCCCCGTTTGCTGAATGATGGTCCGTAGGCAGTCCCTTTCTCGCTTGAGCTGCAACCACCAGTTGAAGAGAAGCCCAACTCCAGACAGCCCCCTCAGAATCGTACCCTGCAAATCCATGCAATGGAGGTCCTGCAACAGCCGAATTCACACTCTTCGACTTGCTTTTAAGGCTTCTGTGTTAAGGTTTGAGGTCAGGTCCTGGGGCGCGCATGGTAGCCCTGGAGGTCTACTCGAACTTCGTAGGGTCAGAAGGCGCGAGTGAGCGCGGAGGACAAGAGTCTGTGTTGCAGTGCTTCGGGCTGCAATGCTTCAGTGATTCCGGGACATGGGCTTACGGTTGAAGTGTAATCCCCAGAGAGCCCAATACAGCTTGATTAAGGAACATAGCTTAACTTGCAAGGGGACTTCATATTAAGATTTAAGCTATGTTCCTTATGTAAGGGGTATTGGGCATTCTGGGCCCAGGAGTGTTTCACAAATCCTCAATCCTACATGGGCGCGTCTAGCTTCCGGCTGTGCTTGGGCTTCCCCGAACTCCCAGGACGGGAACAACTTCAACAGGACGCCCCAGCCCTAGTTTACGGCACGTTCTGAACCATCGAAACAGCTCTAGAGGCCTCGGGGTGTGAGAACCATGAACTGAGTCTTTGCAATGCGATCCCTGCTAGACCGGACAAGAAGAACCGTCGCACTTCTGCTAATAACACTGTGCAAATGAACTGCGGACGCTGCGGTTGATGATATAAAGCCAGCATGACCCCCATAATAAGGCATATACCCTAATTCCCAAAGTTTAGGGCCCTGAGAAAGCAATGCAGGATTTATATCACCCTAAACCCTGAACCCTAAACCCTTAACCTTGTTTATCATCAACACTAGCTCCGCGAACACCTGTCGACGCTGAGCCCTATCGACCCTTTTCCCTTCCGTTTGCCCCTCCACACCCCCAAAAAACCCGAACCCAAAACAAACCCGAAAGCCTAAAATCCCTATAATCTAGGCGCCTTGGTAATTAGAATAGGCTTCTGAGGCCCATTATACTATAATTCTAATAAGGACCCCTCCCAAAATAGTATTGGTAAATAGTTAAGCCCCTATAGTAAATCCTAAATACCCCAAAACCCTAAACCTTATATAGCTCCCCCCCCAAAGCAAGAAACCAAATTCAGCCAAGATGCGGCGGGATAGTGATGTTAAAGTCACCAGAGTAGTCCTGCCCCCCAAGTATAGCAAGCTCCCCAAACCCTACTTGTCCAATGATTCAGGCTTCTATATATGCCTTTGCCAGCGCCACTCCCGGACCAGCAACCCTAAACCTAAAACCCTAAACCCTTAAACCCCTAAACCCGAAACCCAGAGCCCTAAACCCAAAGCCCTAAACCAAAGCCCTAAACCCAAAGCCCCTAAACCCTAAACCCCTAAACCCTAAACCCCGAAACCCCTAAACCCTATACCCTAAACCCCTAAATCCCTAAACCCTTGGCCTGTTCTGCTTGTATGGAATTCGGGGCTTCAATCTCTGCAAGTTCCTGTTTTGAAGCTCTGGAGAAGTCCTACCTCTGCAAAATCAAAGACCCCACATGCTTGACTTAGCCCCAAACCCTAAACCCTAAAACCTAAACCCTAAACCCTAAACCCTAAGCCCTAAGCCCTAAGCCCTAAGCCCGAAATTTCTTAAACCCTAAATCCGAACCCTAAACTAACCGCTTCGAGGTCTTAGGGGCTCAGCAAGTCTTGCAGTCGCACCCAACCCCCGAGTCCCACTAAAATACCCCTAAACCACGCATAAACCCTCATACCCCCGAGCCTTTGAAACCTCTCCCGAGGATCCCTATACCCATTTATGAGTAGAATACCTCCATTACCCCTAAGCCACTAAACCCCAAACCCCCTAAGCCCCTAGACCATCCTAATTACCCCTGAACCGCCAGACCCTTCAACTCTAAACCCCTAAGTCCTCTCAGAGTCCCTAAACCCAAACCCCTAAACCCCTAAACCCTGAACCCCTAAACCCTAAACCCCTAAACCCCTAAACCCCAACCCCTAAACCCCTAAACCCTAAACCCCTAAACCCCTAAGTCCTCTTGGAGGGGATTCCGAAAATAGGGACCCTAATATAGTACCCTAAATAGTAGGATCCTTATAATAAGGACCCCCAAAATAAGGTACGCCTTATATTCCGAAACTCCCATATCTGAGAGTCCGAGTTCTTAGCGATGAAACCCAGAGACTAAAAAAAACCCTTGGCTAAGGACAAGCCTTACCTGAGCCATTCTGAAGGATTGAAAGGATCCCTCTATAATAGGGTTTAGGGTTTGGGGTTTAGGGTAATAATAATTGAAAACATGTTGCTGGAGTAGGGGACAAATCACAACCCGCTGACTTCAAAGATGTGGGCTTCGGAGAAACCCTCAAGCATTCCAGGGCAGCACAATGGGCATGTTGCTTATTTCATGGATTTTGAAGTCTCGGGGAATCTCTGGATCCTCGCACGAACAGAACCAATTCACGATAGGGTTTCGGCGCTGAGGGCATAATGCCGGGCCGGAACAACTGGTACGTAATACATGGTGATACTATTCTGTAGGGTGCCCTCTAAAATCTATGCCTTAAGTTTTGTCCGAATTTGTATTTAAGGCCCCTCTGTTACTGGACCTTTGCAGTAACTCGCTTGTAGTATCCCCTCCAGAAACCCATGAAAGAAGCTTCTTCTAAGGCGATATTAAGGGCCCGGCCCTGTCGCCAAACAGCACGGTGACGTTGGCCTGACGCGCGCGCTAGGAAAGTTTTGAAGGGCCTACCTCATACCTTAAACCCTAAACCCCTAAACCCCTAAACCCTAAACCCTAAACCATCTAAAACCTACCTTATACCCTAAACCCAAACCCCTACACCTAAACCCTAAACCTGAAAGTTCGGCAGCCCTACAGCCCTAAAGGAGCGCCATAGGGCTGCTGACATATATGTTCGATACCCTTACGGTATAAGTGTGAGGTTTAGGGTTGAGGTTTGAGGGTTCCTAGAGGCTGAGGGGATGTAGCAAGTAAACCTAGGCATAGTTGCAAAGGCCCGAACTAAGGTTAACTGAATGACAGGTCTGTAGCTGGCTTACATCCTACTTTCTACTTGGCATCTCCAAACCCCAAACCCTCAAACTTAACTCCAACCCATACCCAACCAGTATTTGGCCCCTTAATGATTCGAACAGGCTTTCGGGGTAGACTATACTATATCCCAATTCCCTAAACCCTGTTTAAGGGCTTCCGTGTTTACGCAAGGTCTCTGGGCCTCGGTAATGCTCCTGGATGCTTCTCCTTCCGTGTTCATATAGCAACTCTTCAGTGCATCCATTGGGAAGCCCACTGACTCCAATACCCCTTAATTAAGGAATATACCTTAAATTATAGTAGGATCCCTACTATGATTTAAAGTATATTCCATACTTAAGGGGTTTTGGAGTCCCTGGGAAGCCGATTGACTCCGACTCCGATGCTTATTCTGCAGAACATGTTGTCACACCCAAATGCCGCGCCGGAGGATTATGGTTGAGGGTTTAGGGTTTGTTTAGGGTTTAGGGTTTAGGGTTTAGGGTGTAGAGTAATTAATCACTTGAGGGGCACTAAGCACCAAACCAAGCAGTTAGAGCACAATGGCGGTAATGATGCCAAGGATTATGGCATTCTTGCTACGCTTCTAAAGATTTGCGTGGATCTCAAAGTGTGCATGGCCGGCACCGCGCACCTGTCGATCCACCACCGTCACCTGCAACACCATGGCGTCAGGTTGCAGGGACGAGGGCTCGGGGCCTAAGGCAATAAAGCTAGCAACGCAACTAGTAATACTAAGGAAAAAATAAGACCAATGACATGAATACAACTACGTACAATAACACGAGCATTAGCAAAAACAGCTCCTACCAATATCACTACTACTACTACTACTACTACTACTACTACTACTGCTAGCTAGCTAGCTAGCTAGCTAGACGCGATAGAGCTACATGCAAAGCCTGAAGATCCATCACTTCCGCTCCCCTTCTTCCAGAAGAAGAAATGCAGGGAATGTCGTACTGCGCAATGGCATTTATTGAAAGGAAACTACAGGGGAGTTTAGGGTATATAGATAGGGCTTCTATACGTCTTCCATAAGGTATATAGACCTTCTATAAGGCTCCTACAACGGTCACTACCCACCTGAAAATGTCCTAGATTTATGTGCCCGAGGGTAGTTCCCTAAATTAGCGTCCCTTTTTAGGGTCCTGATGGTAAGGGTGCCGTACTATATTGGGGGCCCAAAAAGGGACCCTAATTTAGGGAACTGCCCATGAGCACATGAATGACGTCGGGAGGACAGTAAACCCTGTGTTCCTGGTTCCCTCTCTGCCCTTCCCCTCCTTCCAAGAAACCGCCGGATATCCAAGATGCCCTGAAGCACCTAAGAAGCAGTTTCTGAAACAACCCGACCTTGAAGCAACAAGCCCAGAAGTGGACGTTAATGCAAACCCTTGATGAAACTGCCTGGGTTGCCCAACAAGCCCTTCAGGCCTAGCGCCAGATCCAATACTCAAGAGCCTACTGTTTAGGGTTTAGGGGTTTAGGGCTTATTATTGTTTCAAGAACCCACCTCAAAGCTCCACACAACCATATACAACCCTTATTACCTTTTTCACCAGATCCCCCTAAACCCTAAACCCGTGGCAGGCCAGACAATTCTTGCTAGTCCCCGCGCCGTGCCACCTCGTAGGTTGAATTTCCACCCGAGACTTCGGCAATGGCCTGGCTGAATGTCTTGGGGCCTCGGGTTTGGGTTTAGGGTTGGGGGTTTAGGGTTTAGGGTTTAGGTGGGGCCTCGGGTTTGGGTTTAGGGTTTAGGGTTTGGGTTTAGGGTTTAGGGTTGGGGTTTTTGGATAATATAAGGGCCTTGATTAATAGACTGGGGCTGGATGTATTGCATATTTTGCAATAGAACGACAATGGAGTACGATATTGAATTAATGTAGGGGCCTCAGCAATTACCAATACTATTTTCGGGGTTCCTTTTTCTACAACATAGTTTGATAAGCCGCAAAACCCTGTTCTAATTACTAAGGCCCCTACATTATACCCTTATAGAACCCTTGTAACAGCCCTTTGACGGAATCCTACTCTAATCATCTACATTTGAACCCATGGGCCCCTACTATGGGCCCTTGACCCTTGGACTGTTATATACCTACTATATACCCTATTTGTACCCTTAAGGGACCCTAAACCCCCTAAGGGTCCATATTAGGGGCCCATACTTCTAACCTTGGAAATCATTTAAGGCCCCATTATCTCTGACCTTGGCCTGGCGTCGTAGACTTGGGCCTTTTGGGGTTTCGGATCCTACTTGCAGCCCCCCAAACCCCCCAAATAGGGGTAATGTAGGGGCCGTAATGATTAGAATAGGGCTTTGGGCTCCTTTACGGAATCTTCATAAGAAGGAACCCGAACAAGAATATTGGTAATTATTTAGGCTTCTTTTTTTGATGTGTCTTGGTGATTCGTGACACCTTCCTGGATCGACTTTCGGGCACAACCCCCGCAAAAACCCTATGCCCTAAACCCCCTAGACCCCCTAAACCCTGAACCCCAAAATGCAGACGCTGAGCCCCCAACTAAAGAATATTAGGCTTCAGGGTCTAGGGTTTAGGGTGCCGAAGCGCAGAAATCCTGAAAGCCTAAGCCCATGTACGCTGCAACGCATGACGTCTTGTAGCTTGAACCACGTAGCGGCCTCTACATCTACAAGTAGTTCGGGAAGTAGCAGAAGGTAGTTCAGGAAACTTACGAAACACGACACCCAAAACACCGAACTAAACCCTAAACCCTGAACCCTAGAACCCTAAAGCTCCAACACCCTAAAACCCTAAAAGCCTGAAAGCCTAAAGCCTAAAACCCTAAACCTTGAGCCGGGAAGCCCTAAACTCCAAGGGTCGAAACTGAGGTTGTAGGCCCCAGGACCTAAATAACTGCCCTTATAGGGTTTAAGGTTTAGGGGTTTAGGGTTTAGGGTCTAGGAGTCTATGGTTCAGGGGTTTATTTAGGGTATAGGGTTTAGGGTATTGGGTTTAGGGTTAGGGGTCCAAGGACCCAAATAGCAGGTTCGTAGGTACCCAAAAACCATTCAAAGTATGGCCTTTCAGCCTGAAGCTCCACTATTTGGGTGGTTGTCAAAATTATGGTCCCTTTTTGGGGTCCGTAATATACTACGGCACCTACTATTTAGGGTACCGCAAAAGGGACCATAATTTTGACAACTACACATTTGGGTCCTTGGAACCTCAGGGTACCCGTCGAGGGTTCCTCTGCCTAAACCCGAAACCCTGAAACCCTAAGCCCTTTTCCCTTGAAGCCCAGTACCCTGGCCCAAAAAAGTTTAAACCTTTCTTTTAGTAGGGGGTTTATTATACCAAAAAGTTTAAAGTTTACCTACTGGGCTCCTAAGTTTCGGGTTCACATAGGTAGGCCCTAAAGCTGCTAAAATCCTAGGCCCGAATCTCCAATCCGTAAACCCAGAAACCTTACTGCTATTGCTGTCATCACGATGACCAGTATTACAAGTATTGTATCAACTGCTATTACTGCGATTTCTACATATCATCATGATTATGACTACTACAAGTATTATACAAACCCCCAGAGCCCCAAGCCCAACACCCCTTATGGTAACCCTTTTGGTAGGTAACACCTAGGGCCCAAAATCTCCATCAGCCGCTGCCTCGACCAGGGTCTCTGCCAACTGCTCGTCTGAGGCAGACGAGAGGGCCTGGCACAACAAAGCGAGAACGGTGTAGGGTTTGGGGTTTTAGGTTTAGGGTTCAGGGTTTTAGGGTTTAGGGTTTTGGTGGTTCTATACGGGTTATAAGGGTTCTTTGCAGGGTCTATGAGAATTATTCTAAGGTTTCTTCAAAGGGTTCTAGAAGAACAAGGGTTCCTTCCGGGTTATAGGGGTACCTTCATCCCACCTTTCCACCTTTGAAGCCTCCGAAGTTACTGAGAAGCTCCTAAACTGGCACACTCAGCCCACATTTCCAAACTCTAAACCCCAAAACCCCAAACCCTAAACTCCTCCTCAAACCCTGATACCTACACCCCAACCCTCAACTCTAAATCCTGAACCCAAACTTAAGCCCTAAACCCTAAACCCAAGCCCTAAACCGCCAACCCTAAATCCTACAACCCTGAACCCTAAACTTAAACCCTAAACCCTAAACCCTAAATCCTGAACCCTGAACTTAAGCCCCAAGCCTCAACCCTAAACCCTGAACCCCAAACCCTAAACCCCCAACCCTAAATCCCACAATCCTAAACCCTAAACTTAAGCTCCAAGCCCGGAACCTCGAAGGCCAAATACCCATCAAAGAAGGAATATAGCTTAAATCTGAATATGAGGCCCCTTTATACTTTAAGCAGAACGTCCCTTATTGAAGGTGGTCTTGGGCTCTTTGGGCTCGAAGGCCCAGGATCTTGAAACCTGCCTAAACCCTATACCCTAAACCCTAAACCCTAAACCCTAAACCCTAAACCCCTAGGGTGCTTTCGGATCCCAAGTGAGCAAACGGCTGTCTGGGCCGAAGGAGCCTTGAAGTTAAAGGAAGCTACAGGTGGGGAGTTTAGCGTCTATAGGGCTTAGGGTTTTAGGGGTTTAGGGTTTAGGGTTTAGGGTGTAGGATTAGGTGGAGAGTTAAGGGTATATAGGGCTTCTATAAGGCTTCTAGAAGGTAGATAGACCTTCTATAAGGCTCCTATAACGGTGACTACCCACCTGAAAATGTCCTAGATAAGGCGAACCTCCTTAAAGACGGTTTAGGGTTTAGGGCTGAGGGTCTGGGAAAACCCTTTAATAGCATCCTGTTCTACGTCGAAAACAGAAGAGGGTTCGAGTACGGTTTTCGGTGCGTTTTTGCAGGAAATACATTAGAAAACTGCAAGGAATACGACTGCTAATTTGTTGAGGCCGTTATAGTGGCAGCTTCTTTCCTGGAGTCAAGTAGGTTAAGTCGCCAGCTGTGCAAAAACTTACGGTATCGTAACATACCATATCATATCACTTCATATCAATTCAAATCATGGCTTAGCATAGCATAGCATAGCGTCTCAAAGCATCTCATATCATCCAAGATAACATCTTTGCATTTCATATATGTCATACCATATCACATATGTGTATGTGTATATATATAATATAATATATATAGAGATACAGCACACAGGCACCACACAACGCAAGGTAACATGTACATGTATGCACCTGAACATATTAAAGGTTAGCTGCTCTGCTACTTTCAGAAAAGCACCATAACGATTCCAACCAACAATCGCCCAACAAATCTGCCAGACACCGATCGCAGATAGCATGATCACTGCCTTTCTACATGGGGGTTTAGGGTTTAGGGTACTCTTCATGCTAGATCCAAAAAACTCGGAACCGGCCTCCATCAGCTCGTTTCCTCGCTGCTCGATCGCATCTGCGAAGGCAGGGTGCTCTGCTTGGGCTAAAAGCCCTAAACCAAAACCCTAAACCCTAAACCCTAAACCCTAAACCCTAAACCCTAAACCCTAAACCCTAAACCCCCAAAACCCTAAACCCCACACGCTAAACCCTCAACCTTCGGGGCCATAAACCCTAATCCCGAAATCCGTAAACCCTAAACCTTTGGGCCATAAACCCTAAACCCTAAATCCTAAACCCTAAGCGGCCTTAGGGTTTAGGGTTTAGGGTTTAGGGTTTAGGGTTTCCTAAACTTTACCCGTCTGTTCACTGTTTAGGTGCTCCTTTTGGGGGTTTAGGAATTGGCGATTGAGGTTGACTGTTGCATGTCTGGGTTCCCTAGTAGCCCCATAATACTCAGGGTACCCTTGTTCCTAATGTCCGGTCTTAACAAGCCCTAAACCCTAAACCCTGAAACCATAAACCCTAAACCCTAAACCCTAAGCCCTAAACCCTAAGCCCTAAAAGCCCTAAAACCCCTAAAAACTCTAAAAACCCTAAACCCAAAACAACAAGGGCAACAAAAAGGGTGCTTCTTGGGAGCCTAGATGTTTTGGGGTTCAGGGTCTCGGGTTTACTTCGGGCTCAGGGCAAGAGCTGGCTGGGCTTAGGGTTTTGGGGGTTTAGG